ACGCGCGTTTAATTGCTTTTTTTTCCTAATTAGCATAGGAAGTGGAGAGTGGGTGCCAAATGGGTTATGAATATGCATTTGTATTCAATACCTTTGTAAATAAAAAGCCTGTATTCACCTGTAATTAAGGGGAGCACTGGTCCAGAGCTGCTAATAGACATACATTCTGTAGCCCCAGAACAGTTAAAGAGTCTTTGTCTGTCTCAGCTGGATACTGATAGTAGATCATATCCATATTTGGGTAAATCAGCCCAGTGATTCCAGCTGCTCTAAACCCTCAGTGTGGGGGACTGAGCAGTTCTAAATACAGTACAATCTCCAAAGATAAGACAAAAAAAATGTGGCTTTAGGTCCTATAGATATTTGCCTGGGCATCCTGTTAAAAAATCCCTTTATCCATACTGGTAGTCTCCATGCAACTATTTCTCTCCTCTAGAAACCCAGCTTGATGACTAAATATTAAACTAGACTTACAGATGAGGCAGTTGTACCATGTGATATGAATATCAAGCATAGGTACAAAGAGCATGAGAAATATTTAGGTGAATGTTTAGGTGCAGAATTTGCCATGGACCCAAAAAAGAGCTGACCTGGGAACAGCTACAAGCCAATGTGTAATTAATGAGGATAACAGTAAAAAATTACTTGTACTTCAAGTGAACCAATTATAAGCACACCATAAATGCAGTAAAAATGACTGACTCTTCAGATTTTAGTTTAACTAAAGAGGCCTCAGTGTTTGTACCAACTCCAGTTTGATACTTCACTTTAGCAGCATGGATCAGTGGTTGGGGGTGAGAATAACACAATGTGGTCAAAATGTATCTCATTTTTATTGACACAACAATACATCCCCCAGATAAGAAAGTGAGTAGAAAGATAAGGTGAAAGGTGAGACGGACTCATGTATCCTCTGTGGACAGTATTTCAGTAAGATTTTCACAACAAATGTGAAGAGCCCCTGCAGACACACAATCAGAAAACAACCACAGGTAGCAGTGCTTGAACTCAAGACGTCTGACTCATGGCCCGAGCTTCCTTAGCGCTAATATTGTCAGTGGTAGTGTGAAAAGAGGATGCAATTCTGAAAATTAAAAATTATTTTCCTTTTGTTGCTTACAAAACAGCATTTCCTCGAGGCCTTTTTAATGGAGGTAGATGTTCTGGGCTTGCATGGTTTTGGTAGCAGGGGGGACTACAGGGGTGGCTTCCCCCATGCCCAACAGTGCCAATACCAGGCAGCTCCAGGACTGGCCTGTCACTGGCCAAGCCTGAGGCAATCACAGATGGTGACAGAACCTCTGGGGTAACAGAGTTAAGGAGGGGGGGAAAGCCCTGCACAGTGTCAGCCAGGAGAGAGGAATGAAAACACATGAGAGAAACAGCCCTGCAGGCATGCTGGAGCAGCTGGATGCCCAAAGGAGGCTTTAGCCACATGGGAAGCCTGCACTGGAGCAGGCTCCCAGCAACACCACTGGAAGAAAGGGTCCACAGAGGAGCAGGTTTGCAGGCAGGACTTCAGCAGGACTTGGCCCTGCTGGAGCAGTCCCTGAAGGACTGCACTCTGTTGAAGGGACTCACGCTGGAGCAGCTCATAAGGAATACTAGTTGTGGGAAGGCCCCACACTGGGGAAGTTGATGGAGGGCTGTCTCCTCCCCGTCAGTGGTCCTTCCCCTGAGGAGTAAGCAGCAGCAGATACAACGTGTGATCTAAACACAGTCCCCATTCCTGGTACCCTTGTGTCACTTGGGAGTAGGAGAGAAAGAAACACTACAGCATGATTCCTCTAATGAAAATATCTAGTTTAGGTTGAAATAAGCAGCATACCCTAGAGGGCTTGGATCTCTGCAGTGACTCAGGATGGGCAGGAGTCACCAATGACAAGCTCAGAGAAAGATACGCAACAAGCTCAAGGAGAAAAATCTAACCTCACTCCAACCAGTTAAAAATTAGAATGAGATCTTGCAGTAGTTGAAAGTAATCATCAATAGAGGAAACAATGATCAGAATCTTCCTTTATTACTTTAGCTAGGGCATGAATTTGCCTAGTCTGTAAGTCAGCTCAGAGCTGGCATGTTCTGAAAAGATCTTGAGAAACACATTTCTTCATCTTTCTCCTGAAAAGAGTAAGTCCCCAGTCTGGAGCTGAGGTTATGAGTATTTTTTAACTTTTCTAGTTAAACTGCAAATACACCCCTCACCCCACTCCTCCATCCCAATTTAATGTTACTCATCATCTGTAACATTCATATGGCTATATTCACCTTAGTTGTACTTTAAATATTAAGATCTTAATATATAGACTAATCCTTAGCATGTTTACATTCTCAAAGAAGTCTTGAATATATGAATAAAACAGTCAGAGAGGAGAGTTAGTGGTAAGAACTATCATTTATTAGACTTTCAGAGGGAGGATTTAATAGATTTAAAAATCTGGAATAGATGTCTTATTTTGAACCTTTCTAACTAAATGCATCCTTCTGTTTTTCTTCACCTAAACCCATTATCATTTATCTATTTCAATCCCTAAGTTGCTGTGGAACTGTCAAATGTTTCTTACCTTCATTATATACCAATCAAACACTCTCCCTTCAGTCCCACCCTCCCCATCCCCTGCCCCTGCTTCACTGCCAGCCCTTCCAGCTGGAATTCCTTGCTGTATGTTCCCTCTTCTGATCGTTCTGCAAAGATCAAAATAGTTGTCTGACTTCACAAAGTCAGCACAGATTAGTGTAAAAACACTCAGATATCTTTCTCAGTCAGTTACTTTCCACACAATTATATATTTTCTTCTTCTTTTTTTTTTTTTTAATTTTTTTAAAGCTGACAGCCTTAGCATGTCATGGTGCCTCTCCAAAAGAGCACTGTAAGAGTCTACAGAGCACAACACCCTCTGTTCTGGACTGATTCATGACTTATGAGAGATTTTTGAGCTGTCTCTGATGAACATGTTTTTCTTTGCATGAAACAAACTTTCAGCTCCTCTATGGCAAACACAAATGCAAGAGTTCATTCATTCCTTCATTCATTTGTTCAGTCTTCTCCAGGAAAGTGATCTATAAGCACATCATTTACCCTTTGGCCATTTATTAGCCTTGCAGCCAACAGCTCCTTGGAAATTTCATGTATGTGATTTGTGTCCAAAGGATTTATTTATTAAATTGCATTTATTTATTGGTTCTCAAGCAAGTCTTTACACAAAATATTCTTTATCTGATTTCATTTTGATTTTTAATTTGCCATATTTTATATTTTTTCATAGTTCCTTATTCAGGAAGGAACAATATCATTCAATCTTTGAACCATGAATGACTCATTTCTTGCATGAGAATATATAGTTCCTGGAATGATGTATAGTTATCTGAATATCAGTCTTTTTAACTTTTAGGTCACTTACTACTCACAATGGTTTGAATTCTATTGGATCTTACTTTTTCTTCATTGTTTTGGCATAGTATTTTTTAAGGTTTGATGTGCCTTTCCTCTGAAATTTCAACATGATGCTTTTCAAAAAGCTGGACATATCTGTACATATATAACTTTTTTCAGCCTCTCTTAATTCCTTTTAAGAAAGATTTATTTTAATTTTATTTGCTGGTTTTGGAAATTAAAACACTGTGGTGGTGTTTGAGGGGTTTTGCTTTGTTTTCTTTGAGTTTTGTTTCGTTCACTTGTTCCTGCAGACATGTGCCCTATAATCTCTGGTACAAAGGAGTCCTTGGACAGCATTGCTCTGCACCAGGACCTGCAAGCACATCACCATGAGCAGCTGTGCATTTCCTCACTGGCTGCCATTTGCTGCTGTCATTCTCATGATGGCTAAAAATTAAGTCTCTGCATCACACTCTGAAGAAGGATTTATCCAGATCACACAGAGGTAATTAACATCTTTCATTATGACTGTGTTCCTGTCCTGAGAGACCCTCTGATCTCCTAAAGCATGTCACAGTCAGACTTGAGAGGGTAGAGGGATCAGCAAAACAGTTCAAATGTGACATTTCCTGGTTTCACCTTGGAGCTCCAATCCATGCAGATTCTGTCTTATTTACTGGAAGTTAGAAGTTAGCATAAATTATGCAGTCTTTCAAAGAGTTGGCTATGATGAGCTGCCTCTATTAGTTCTTCATCTTGCCATAAGTATGGGATTTTTGTTAATTCAACCTTCTCATATTTACACTAGTAAAATTAAGCCCATTCAAAAATCATATGACCACATGGCATAAAATCTTTAACAAAGTCTTCGTTATCAAGGGTATCTGGGAACTGTTGGATCATTAATGGATCTGGGTTCCCATATTGCATGATAATTACAGAGACCAAATATACTCCACTTAAATCAATATATGGCTGTCACCATTTTTGTGAAAGGAAGATTCCCAGCTTCTATATGACATCTTGAGATCAGCCATTGTGTAAACAACTAACATCAATATGACTTTGCTCATGACAAAAATGTGGCAGAGAGGGAATTTGCTTAGCACAGGGAAACAGGCATGAGCTGTCTCTATTTTCAGGGACAGTAATTTGATTCATCCAAGGACAAACCACACAGATCATCCAGCTTTTCCAAAATGTTGCATGCAGTTATCCATGAAGATATAATCAAAGCTTGATGTGCAGTGACAAAGTAGTAGAGAACGAGCAATTCAATAATTGTGGAAGTATCCTCTCATTTTAAATATCAATCCAAGGCTAGTAGAAAATAATTTCTAAGAGATACTTCTGGTGAAAAAAGATTAATTCTAATGTCAAGAAATATTTTATCACTCCTAAATATATTCTAGTTACCAGAATAGCAGACTGTTAAAATAGCTAAATCATCATCATCATCATCATCAAACAACAATCAAAAACTCAGTCTAGTGCAAAACACATATAGATGACTTTTATGAAACTACTTTATTAAAAAAATACAGCCACTATTTGGTGAATGATGTGTAAATATTCATTTAAGACTCTTCAAAATGCATTTTTAAAGACCATTACTGCTGCACACAGCTTTAGTTTAACTATTTTATTAAGTTTCTCCTCTACAAGACCTCTTATGAGCAACATACAGATAGGTCCCCTGCATCATGATGTGTTTTGCAATTACACATATGCATAGGAAGTACACAAAATTTTACTGCTTTTCCTGACTTGTCACACAAACATATTTTTGTTATTTTATGGATCTGTTTCTGCTGCATTTATTGCAAAATTCTAGTTGTTAAAGAGCATTGTATTTAAAACAATAACAGTTCTCAATACATTCACTTAAATCCTCCTTAAGTATAAAAACAACTGAGAGACATCTGGTTCCAACTGAGACAGGAAATGTCTTTGCTGACGTGGGATCATGTTTATTTCAAAGAAGTCCAAGGATGATCTTGGGAGGTACAGAGGAATATATTTAATACAGTATCAGACAAACTGGTAAAAAACTACAACAAACAAAAGAATAATAGGAAAACAGGTAAGTATGGCACAGTGAATAAAAATTATCTTACCTGATTTCTTTCCCCATACACCTCTGATGGCGCAATAGCCTAAGTAGATGAGCAACACGCTGTTCCAACAACAGCAGAGCTAGCAAAGCCTCATTTTCTATGGGTCTGTGTTCCGTGCCTCCATGTTCTCCTCTGCCTATTTCCCGATCTCCTCGCTCCCACCCCATTTCCTGGCTGGTGTCTCTGACATGAAACAGCAGAGCCCTGCTGCTGAAGCCACAGGGCAACATCCCCAGTGACTGGCCACTTAGTCAGGTGAGATGGAGCAGTTTAGTGCTGAATTTGGGCTGAGGCCATTTCCTGGGGGTCTCCTTCAGGAGTCTTTCTCGACAGCATCAGGTGGCCCTAGAGGAAGAAGCAGGAGAAGCCCTTTCAGTATGTACCTATGTAAGCAGTAACACATTTTTTTCTCCATTTTTTTGTTGACTAGTGTTTTGGTTTAGCTGGCTTGGTTCCCCAGTCTGGTTCACTGCTAGTTCAAATGCTGGGAGGGAAAGAATGCTTTCAGTGACATTGTCAGTTCAAAATGAAAATGCTTGTCAATGTGAAGATTCAGTTTATGAGTCTACCAAAAGTCAACCACCATTAGTTATGAAATGTATAATTTTTATGAAATAATTTCCATTCTGTCAGATTTGGTAGTGGTTGATCAATTTAAACATTATCAGGAAGAAAATAATGGATGAACTGGCAATTACAGCACATAAATCCACTGTAGGAAAGTAAGATATAAATTATACACACAAGCTTACATATGGAGTAGGAGTGACAAAGATTAGGACTCATCCACTTCAAAAAGAGCCATCTGAAGGTAATTCACAGTAAAGGGCCTTATTTACAGTGATGGAATGTGTTTTACTGGCTGTGGTGTGAGGTGACATGTCATAATAAAATTCCACATTTCCCTGTATGCTTAAACACCCTTGCAGTCACCACAGGCAGCAGGACACTCCATGTTTCTGCCAGCTTTATGTTCTGGGTAATGAGACAAGAAGTTCAAAAAAGGGTGATCTTTCTCACAAAATACATGGAGCATTGAGAAATTTGCTCCCTCAAAAGGCTGCTTGCTAAACAATGACGGATGTTATGACAGATTCCAAAGAGAATCAGAAGCACATTCATGCTTCCACCAGTGAGTATTAGATGCAACAGGCTTGACATGTAGCCTGCCTCAGGATATTCTTAAACCATGGGTGAGACAGCATACTCAAGACTGTTCATTCTCATTCCTTCTTAAAAATTATTTCCCTAAATCTCTGTAAGAAGCAGTATCCTGGATGACATGTACCTAATGTCTTTTTTTTAGTATGATCAGTGTTATTTCCAACTGTTTTGTTGAAGAGTGGGAAACAGAGACTTGTCCCTGTTGCACACTGTTGAATGGTGTACCACAAAGGAGACAGGTAAAAATGGTGCACACCCTCACTACCCAGCACTGGCTACACAAGAGAAATGCACTGCCTTTCTGCCCCTAGGAAACAGCAGCAACTACACTGTGGTTTTCAGAACTACTGTTATTGTATTTGAGACCCCAGTTCTTTCAAATCTCTGACTCGGTGAGGAAAAGCACACAGGGGGCTTCAACTGTCTGTGCCAGACATCCTTTCTGCTGCCTCAGACTGGATCACCGTTCTCAGAGTGAGGCCAAAGCCTTTGCCTTCTTCCCTGCAGCCCTTGTGGCACTCGGATTCACCTGTACTGAACAAGGCAGAGGGGAAGAGAAGGCTTTTGCTTTTAAATGTGTCATGACAGACAGATGATTCACATTTAAAACATGTACATAAATATGTATAGCTATATAAGTATGTATAAATACATATATGTATGCTTTATACAGAAGAACTATATTAAAATAAAGGCTATGAAGAAAAGCTCTTTAAAGTTAGAAAATGTCATCATTAATTCTGCACAATGTTTACACGTTCAGTCCCTCTCAGCCAGTAAAGTCATTCATGGGTTCATGGTTTTTTTCTACAAGATCTTGCCCCATTAAAGCAGATGGTTACTTTAAAATGAATAAGCAGCTATTTGTCCAATACTTGCAGTACATTCCCTTGCCCTGAGCTTTATTTATGGAACACTACATAAGCTGTGCTTTGAAAATTTATTAACTTCATTCTGGGTTGAAGATGTTCAAAATCCTCCAGTAAAAAAGTACTCTTTATTCAAAACTAAACCTTTCTGTGGCAGACTTTTAACATAAAGAATCTACACTCTGAAAAAAAGAGAAAGGAAAGGGGATACAAGGGAAAAAGGGAAGGGAGGGAGGGAGGGAGGGAGGGAGG